ATATACAGTATAAGAAGATCAGAAAGTTTACAAAAAGAGGAGGCCTATTCAGTTCATGAAACCTATTTGGTTGTTGGAACTTAATTGATCGAAGGATCTCATCCAGCCACTTCTTTAAGGAAGCCAGGGTATCATCAACATGGCTGGATAGCTTATTCCTGAGTCCCACAAACCTTTACTTAAAGAGGTGCCTCCTGTGTTTGGTTTTAAAAGCACTTTCACATAGTTTCTACTTTTTGTGTTTCAATGTTTATTCAATGAATACATCCAATGGGTTAATTTTGTCAATGCTTTTGAGGGTTATGAAGTCTTGTATTAGGGAACTTAATACTCTTTTTTTGTTCAAAGCAGCTTTTTTAAGATGAAAGTGCAGGGCATTACATTAAGCCCAAGAATGCATCAGGGTGCTGTTCTCAGGAATGATACCAGAGAAGCAATATTTATATTTTATAACATGGTGACCAAAATTGTACACAGTTTTCTAAATAAGACTTTCCCAGTGGACTGTACAATTTTAACATAACATGCTTTGATTTAAATCTATGCTCTTAACAACATATTCAACCAGATTTTTCTATTGCTTTCTCAAATTGTCTAGAAGGGGAAAATTATGTATATAATTAACAACTTCTTGTTTCTCATAAGTAACCTTTTCTAAGTCTCTACCATTTTTCATTTAGTTTTTTTTTTTTACCTGCATGCAAAACCCTGTTCTTGTATTGGACATCTGGTACAGTAGGTGTCTGCCCAATCCTGAACTTATTCTAAACGTTATTAAATTACATATGAACAAGTAATAGGTTTATTCCATGCTGAAAAAAGAAGAAAGAAAACACAACGTTTCGGCCGTGGAGCCTTCTTCAGGTGTGAGGGAAGAAGGCGGCTCCACGGCCTAAACGTTGTGTTTTCTTTCTTCTTTTTTTCAGCATGGAATAAACCTATTACTTTTTCCTCTGCAGCCTACGCATGCTGACGCAGCTACCCACCTTAAATTACATATGCTGCCTCTGTTTTAATCTTCCTATTTTCCTGTTCTGTAAGAATCTAGATTACTGATCTATATTAAGAAGAGCAGTGGTCCCAGTACAGATCCCTGTGGTGCTCTATGAATTACATCACCCAATTTGACCATTCACTCTGTCTATACTTTTCATTTCTGATCTAGTAACCAATCCTTAAAAAAATGTTCAGCCTGCAATCTGATAATTATTACTTTTATGAGGAAATTTATCAAGCCTTCTAAAAATCTAAATACACCATATCATTTACCATACATATTCCATATTGCACATAACAGAACATTGGTGTACAAAGACAGTCTGTCAGAGGTTTAATTCATATCTCATCCTTCTTTGAACAGATGTGTAATACTTGCTGCTAAAGGCTCTTTATTTAGGACAAATATCAATGGTGAGGGGGAATTCCTCTCTTTGAAATGAACTGAAGAAACTTTAAAATATCTGATTGATGACAATATTAGCCTGTTGATTGCTGTAGAGAAGTTTTATCCAAGAAATGAATGTATGATGTTTTGAATTAATTTCAAAATTAATTCTAAATTAAGTGCTGTAAACAGGTGATTCATTCCACTGATAATTTTTACACATTATTAAGATATCCATCAATGATACAAAGGAACAAGTAAAGGTTTATTTTTTATTCAGGTTCCTTTTAAGGTTTATTAAGGTTTACCCATCAGTGATGTTAAAGCAAATCCTAGAGTAGGCTAAATATATATCAACTGACCTAAAATTTGACTAAAATGTTTTGTAGTGGTGTTTAACCCATGTATTTACTTTCAAGTTTTATCAATGTTAATAATGTGACAATAGAGATCTTCAAAATCAATTGAAGAGCAAAGTTAAACTAATTTGAAAAAACAAATAAACTTTGAAATTTTGAGTGCACTTATAATTCGGAGGTAAAGGCAGCTATTTTTATCCAGAATAAAAAACTTCAGAAGATTGATGATTTTTCATGTGACATTTTTTTTTTCTCTTCATAGTTTCTCAATAACTAAATTTATTAATTAATCAGCTGCTTGGTCAAATAATATGTACAGTGGTTATACTCTTTTTGTTTACAGGTAGCACTTACAAACGAGAATTCCCTCAAAATGGAAGCTGATATTTAAATTATGTGGACAACTACAAACTTTCCAAGTAACAGAAAAGAAAAATACAGGTAATGATTAATGTAGATCATACTGATTTAGGCTAATCAGAACCCAAATCAAGACCACTCAGAGCTTGCAAGATTTTGTTTTTATTTTTCAGCTCTTCAGCTCCTACAACAAATTGCTACTGTATGCTGTCATATAGTTACACTAGCTTAACCTTTGTGTGATGGGGATGTTGTATCTGAAATAGATCTATGCCCTCTTACTTCCTGTTAACTTGGTAAATTGTTTCCATGGAAACAGCCCCCAAGGTCAGGATGAAGTCAGAAAGGGTCAACGAGATCCATCTTAGATGTCACAGATGTTGAAGTTTGAAAAAAGGAAAAAAAATACAATTAAACACCAAAATTATTGCTTACAATAACCAAACAAGAGACACTATATTTACTATTACTCTTTCAGTGCTTGTTATGTATTTAATCGTAATGTCATATGAACAAAATAGAAACTGAGCAAAGTTTATCTGGTCTTGCATAATGAAATGAGTAATCATCACAGCCTTGTATCAGGTAGATTTGCATGTTCATTTTCAGCCTGCATTTTACATCCTGTTCAAGGTTGGCTACTGGTGTGAAACAGCTGAAGATCCTTTTCAGCATCTACACTTGACAGACGCATCCAGCTACAGTATGTAATTCAGGGAGAGGGTTGTTACGCTCAAAAAGCATTCTCTCCAAAAGCCACTTTGTCTCCCCACGCAGCTCCATGATTGGATCATTACTACGAATGAAGCTATGAGCATTCAAAAACGGAACATTAAATAACAATCGCCCTGCACAAATGCAATCAAAAATGCCATGCTTCCTTCTTTAATAGGGGAGAAGAAAAGCTGATTTTTTCAGCCATTTTCATATCAATGATTTCTGCCACATAGGATGCTAATATTCATCTTACATTTGAATGTCTGTTTGAGATCTCATTTTCCCTGCAGGCAGCTCAGAAAAGGCCCTTTAATGACAAAGCTCATTCTCTCTGCATGGGTGACAGTGAGGAGGCAAGGTCAAAGAGAGAAAACACACGATCTACTTACTCAGCACTATCCAGTCATAAAATCCAGCACAGCAAGTTTGACCTGTTCCTCGCCAACAAAAGCATTTCGTTAGCTGTCATAATTAAAAATTAGGAGTACCATGCTTTTCAGATTAATGCAAAGCAATTTTCAGGAAAACCCTTCATTTTTATGGGATACATAAGTAATTTGTCTAATGGGTTTTGTGAAAACTACCTATATTTGTTACCATGTATAAAGCAGGTCATTGTACTGAAGAGATAAAGCACCTCGCTTAACAATGCTCCACTCAGTAGCCATACAAGCACAGCTCAATACCTATTTTGCTTACAGGGCTGCAGGGGAGCAGAAACCTATCCTTGCCAACAACGGGTGGAAGACAGGGTACACCTTGGAAGGGACACCAGTCCATTGCAGGACTCACACTCACACTCACACTCACACTCACACTCACACTCACACTCACACTCACACTCACACTCACACTCACACTCACACTCACACTCACACTCACAC